ATACAAGCAAAGACAACAAAGTTTGATTATAACTCTAGTGGAGTTTGTAAGAAATTATAACTACCTGAAGTGGTAAAAGTTTCTATGTCTTGCCATGATCAAATTCATGTATGATTATGGGCACAAAAATTGGGAACCCGTCCCATTGAATTTGCTCCATTCTCATTCCCTTAAGAGAATGTGATAGCAGTATGTGATAAGTCTGAAAGAAGACAAAATTATCACTATGAATGTATCAATGGATGTGGACGTGGCAATAGACGAAATTATAATCGTCATCATTGTGATAATGAGAATAATAAGGATTCTCAAAATAATCCTCCACTTGTGAAAATACTTGTCATCGATTTGACATGAGGTTTTATAAAGCACATATAGATGATTATGGTCTATTCATGATGTGAATGTGACAACATCTGATTTAAGAATACATATTCATTTTTGGAAGAATATGAGCGTGCTAGTGGTATATACCACACTCACCTCTAGAAGGAGGTTTGAGATTATATAAGAAAATAATATCATTATTATGGCATGAATGGTCATTGGTCACGTACCTATTGTACGCCAAAATATTTTGGCATTGTGATTATTAATAGTCAACGGTAATGCAAGAAACAGATCTTGCATATAATTTTGACCATAACCATAATGGTATAACTTTCTCTTTAAAAGAGATATTCACCATATGGGTGTTGATGAATATGTGGTACTACAAAATTAATTGAGAACTCTGCAAGAGCCAATTATACTATTTTGGAGAAACACAATTAATTACCAATAAGATATTGTGTTGTAGTAAGTCTCAAAGAAACTTATTCAGTTTCCAAAGTATACGCGAAAGCGGTTGATTATATTGAGACTATAAATAAAGGAAAGATTTAATATCTTCTATTACTACATCTTGTAGCGGGGTAATATGTATGTGAAAAGCTACCCGCTTTATTCTCCAATTTGTGCTACATAAACAAAAGAATACCACAATGAAGTGGATATTTATTGATATAAAAACCCTTATCATAATAAACTTGGAGTTTATTGATAATTGCACACGTCATGGTATAAATCTGAAGTTTATCAATATTGATTTATTCAGTTGGCATAATTTGTTTAGCCATATCAATTTAAGTATGATGTGCAAAAATAATAGAGAATTCACATGGGTAAATATTGAAGAACGATAAAGTTCTTTACGAATTCTTTTATGTTGCATGTTCTCATTAATTAATAAGCCAACAAAATTGGGATTGAATCCCATGAACTCTGGAAATATCAAAGGTGAATATGGGCCCATTCACCTGCCATGCATACCACATAAGATGCATCTATGAGATGGTTACATGTGCGATTATTATTAACCCGCAACATGGTGTTTGCGAGGTAACTTGCTCAATAATTTAATTTAGAGCATAATTTCCGGATTTTCTATTCAAGACAGTTCATCTTGATAAGTTGGTTTATACCACAGTTGGTTTAGTGAAATAAATTATTGAGTGCCTCCACTTAATAGCTAAACAATTGCTTATGAGAACAAAGTTATCTATATCAATTTGATATACGTTATATGCCAAAGTATATTATTTTCTCCCCTCACAAGTGGTTCAGGGTCAGGAACCAAATAATTCCATCTTATTATTATTGATGTGCGGTGTATATTTTGATTAACACCATAACGCACAAAGGTGGATTCTCAAAGTTGAGGTACCAAGTTAGTTTTTCTAACATGAGGGGGAGACATGATAAACATTTGAGAAAAAGTTACATGGAATGAATTATCATTTATACATCTAGATCCCCGAATAAAATAATATGAACTTGAAGTTCATATAAGGATAATTCATGTGCAATTTATTGCAAAGCATGCCAGACGCATTTGCTGACCCAAAAAAAAAAGTAACTATATTTATATGGCAATCCATGAACGATTTAAAATGCTGATAGCATATGCAATTCTTGGAGAATTTTTTTGGTCACGAATGACCACATCCTAAGTGCAATTTGTGCACAAAGGTATCTTGCTATAACTATAAGCATGATAATGTGACAGCGAGGATTTTCAAGGTACAACATATTCATTGGAGTTAATATGGCGGATTTATTCACCAAATCTTTGCCGACGTCAACCTTCAAGAAGCTAGTGCACAAGATTGGGATGCGAATGCTTAAGGATGTGAATTGATGCTCTCATCAGGGGGAGTTAATACACGTTGTACTCTTTTTCCCTTACGAGGTTTTGTCCCACTGGGTTTTCCTTGCAAGGTTTTTAACGAGGCAACCAAAAGGCGTATTGTTAGATATGTGTACTCTTTTTCCTTTACTAGAATTTTTTCCCACTGGGTTTTATTTTAGTTAAGGTTTTAACGAGGCACATTATCTGTTGAATAGACATTCAAGGGGGAGTGTTATAAATAGAATTTTATTTATGGTGAATGTCTATATTTAGAGAGATTCTAGAGTTTATTACTTGGTGGCTAAGTCACCCTCTCCCTATAATAGAGGATTCTATTCCATTGTAATTCATCCCAAATCAATAAGAATTCTCTCTCTACTTTTCTTTGCAATATTATTCTTATTCTTTTATTATTTTATAACAAGTACAATATTTTAAGGCCAGCCCCTTATAGGGCCATTTCTGTCAATAACCCTTTTTTTTCTTCACTAAATGGGCTAACATTCTTCTTTCTTCATACTATAAGTGGGCTGCCCTTGAACAGGCGAGGGATGGTCTATACTTTCTACTAGAACCTTCTAGGCTTCAATCCAGTGACATTTTTCGCGAATAGCATTTTCTATCCAATACTGCTACCGTCCGATGAGTCTGAATTCAAATCGGTAACCATTCTCCGACAATATTTCCGGCGATTTTTTTTAACGCAAAATTCGAATTTTACATTGTCAAAGTAACTTCTTGAGTTACGAAGTTCTGTCCTTTCTTTAATCCAATGCCTCGGTATGCAGACTTTTTTTCAATTATTTTCGGTTTATGCTCACTATTTCGGTTTTGTTTAATTATTGATCATTTATGTCATTTTTCAGGTATTACTGTGACTATTGCGACACTTACTTGACACATGATTCCGTAAGTTTTATGATTCTTTTTTTCTTTGTGTGCGTTTCCCTATGTATTAGTATGCTTCAATGTGAATTAAGTTTATGATAGTTTCTATTTCTGTTATAATGCCAATGTGAATTTTTTATAAGGTTGGATATATGTTGATTTAACTTTCAAACCATTTTACTCTATAATATGATACTCTTATCTCATTAGAACATCAAATTGGTAAAATGTGTACTTATGTTATTCATTTAACGTACATTGTGCGAAAAATATCAAAGTCCGTTATGTTTAATAATTACTGGGGCATCATCCAGCTAATTACACTTTTCACTCCAAACTGAATGTTTGTATCTGAGTTGACATAGTCTGTTGAAACTTGAGAGCTATATTTATGGATTGTTATAAGCACCTTCACATATGTAAAAAGAGAAATACTTTGTTGAGAAACAATTTAGTAGGTCTGATGCAACTCTTTTATTGTTTATTAGGGAATTCTTCTAGAAAGGCAGAAAAGAATAGTGACATGTTAAATTTTTATTGTAGTTTAGACATGCAGGACACTCTCTGAGGGTTTGTCTTGAATTTACCATTGCATGTGTGTTATCTATTACAATGTTAAGGAAAGCTAAAATTTGTATCTCTTGGACGTAAATGAGATCTGCAACACTGACTTTCAAGTTATATGTTGGAGAGGAAAGAGAATGGATTCCTGTATAGAAGAGCTGAATATTATTTTGGATGAGAACAGAGAACTTGAAATATCATTATGAACATTGGGATTATTTGGATTGCCTGTAAAAGAAAGTGATTGGTAATTGATTAACCTCTTGCCGTATTCATTTCAGTGGACATGTAAATCATCTCCTGGAAGTCTGAGGCCATCATGCTCCTTTACAATTAATGCTGTATTACTATGGTTCATACCCATGGATCTGAGTAGTATCAACTTGCACATGATACAACATCATTCTGTGTCATAATTATTCTTAATAATACATATCGTTGCTTCCTAAATTAGTTTACAGTTATGTCCCTGTTGAGTGGGCCTCTTACTCCAACTCGGAAGTAATGTTGCAGTGTAGGATCAAAGGGTATGAAGTTTTTAAATCTCGATGCGGCATTCTGTTTCTCTTGGTATGACGTGCCAAAGGATTTATCCGTCAAGTTTCTTTGGGAGCTTTTGTCATATAGAAGTCAAGTAAACATGCTAGCAAAGTTGTTACTCTTACGACTTTAGAAAGATTATGTATACTAAAACACCGAACTGATTTTGACTTCATACTGGGAATATGCTGTTAAACCAGTCAAGGCAAGGGTTTGGATATCGTTTTGGTGCAGAACAAGACGGATATTGGCATGATATTCAAGAAGCGGTTACTCTTTGATCCTTGTAATTCTGGGGCTGCCTTTTAGTCAGAACTGATGTACTAATCTGGTACTAAAGCTGAAGATTAATTGCAAGATTCTAATTAAAGTGGTGCTTACAGCATAGGCCGTAATTCATTTTAGTACTTTCTCAATCGGTGTTCCTTTTAACTATTTGGATGGAAAAACTGAAGTTATTGAATGAGTTAAAAATATCCAGAGAAGAATCCTAAAAATCACTGGTTTAGAAAATTGAATGTAAAGAATAGATGACATCACAGAACTAGGAGTTGGAACAGCGAGGCTACATATTGTTTATTAGATGAAATGGAAGATCACCTATACAATTTTCTTGAGTCAGATGGAAAATCCCATTGACTTTTTTTTTTTTTTTTTGAACTGAAAATCCCAGTGACCTTTTAATATGGGTGATTCAGGGGTGTGAACCACAAGCGTATAGGAAAGTGTTATTTTGTTGTCGCACAAGAGAATCAATAATTGTGAGGCAATTCATATTTTCATATAAGAAAGAAGGACTAAGGAAAGGATTGGTAGCTGGTTTAATTCATCCTAGGAAAAAAAAAAAAACGAAAAAGGGATAAGATTGATAGGTGGTTTAGAAAGTCTTTTGGAAAGACAAGAATATGCCCATTATTGAACTTATCTCTTGTTGAAAAAAGAAGATACCGACTATTGAATTAGGAAGGAGTTCTTCCCATCCGTCTAAGCCTTGGTTGATAGAGTTTCTCGGTATCTGTGCTGGTAGGAGGTAGCACATACCCCGTGAATTAGTCGAGTTATGTGCAAGTAGGCCTGGACACCAGGTCATAAAAAAAATTAGGTTAGTATAAACCTTGTGAAAAATAATTGCAGAACTAATCAAAGAAAATATGTAGAACAACTCATTTGATATGGACAAAGGGTGTGGGTTCAAGTCGGACTATCGACGCTTGCAGATAATAACAAAAAAAAGAACTCATCTGATGTGGACTGCACGCTGGCTGGAAGCTATAGCTTGATGACTGTAGGGGGTGAAACTAAATGAGATAGCGATCAGCATTTTGGAACAGTTGTAGGAGGGACAAGTTAATATATATAGAGTAAAGTTAATCCATAAAATCTGATTGATTAGCATCCAAGGGTGTGGCCTAGTTGTCAATGAAGTGGATGAGAACCATGAGGTCTCAGGTTCAAATCCTAGCGGAGCCAGAAAACACTAGGTGATTCCTTTCCATTTATCCAAGCCTTGGTGAATGGAATTACTGTTGGGAGGTGGCAGGTATCCCGTGGAATTAGTCGAGGTGCGTGCAAGATAGCCCGGATACCACGGTTATCAAAAAAGAAATTTGTTCATATTTTTAAGCTTTAACTATTAGTAACTTGTTCCACGACTGAAAATCTTTGCTCTCTTTGAGTGATGCTTCTATTGTCAAAACCCAGCACATATCACCTGTTACCAGGCTGCTTTTTCTGAACTGGGAAGTCAACAACATCCCTGTTACCAGCCATTCTTGTTCGTAGTGGTTGAGAGAGTCCTCTTCATGCCACTAGGTCAAGAGTTCGAGCCTGGTACCCTGCCTACAAAAGAAAGCATCCCTGTTACCGCTTTCATTTTTCTGAACATGTCTTGATGCAAATATTGTGCATACTTTATATGGTATCTGTAATTCCATGGCACTACCTTTATCTTTCCAACTCCTAGGAGTTCTGCATTCTGTTGTGCAAATGATTTAGAATGGTTTAAATCTTCCTGTGCTTCTTGTTGCTTGGATGTCTGATTTCTTATCATTTTCCCTTTCACATTCCCAGCCTTCTGTCAGAAAACAGCATAATGCCGGTTACAAACACAAGGTGTGTCTTCCTATTTTGTAATTCTTATGACAATCTTCTCTTCTAACATGAATGTCATCCTCTCTATAATGGCACTAATACTAGGAAGTTTTTCAGGCCAATGTACGGTCTTATTATCTGAAGTTTGAAGAGGAGCAAACACAGATTCTGATAGATCAGAAAATCAAGGAGCGCCTTGGGCAGGCAGCAGCGTACCAGCAAATTGGTGCAGCTTATAATCAACATCTTGCTGCGTTCCCTGGTCAACGACCTCGCCTACCGATGATGCCACCTTCTATGCTGCCTGTTCCAGGAGCCATGCCCCCACAATTAATGCCAGGTGCCAGGCCTCCCATTTTGCCAATTCCTGTTCCTGGTCCTCCAGGTACCAATCCATGTAATTGTTTGGTGATTCCTTGGTATTTTTTTGCACTTGTTTGTCTATGTTTATCAGGCAGTCTTTGTTTTCCATTTTGTGAATTGAGTGGGATAATATCTTCTGTTAGATATTTTATGATGGACTTACTGTGTTATAAAGCATGTCTTTCCCCTTTTAGGTTGATGTACGTCCTTCAGTTTGGGAGAATTTTCCCAGTACCAGTAAAAGTTCTTTAAAGATTGTTTCAACTTTCACGTGCTGCAGGTTATGGACCGAGGATCTGAATTATTTCATCTCGTCTAATATGCTCTTTTCTTATCCTTTTTCAAAGAGAACTAATATGCTCTGGGATTAGCGTAGCAAAATAAAAAGTAAAATTTATTTTTGTCTCATCTCCATGTTATGGGCATCTGGTCGCATCAACGAATAAAGAAAGAGCGGCTAGACTAAAACAGTCAAACGTGAATGAAATTATTCTGAACTATATACATTTTAACTTCTTGATGTGCTTTTCAGGTTATTCCGTGGTTGCTCCAACTGCACCAATTGCAGGACAGGTGCCACCTGTTTCATCCTTGCCGATGCAACCCAGTTCCCTTCCAGCTCCTCCTGCACTGAACCCCCTTGCAGGTGTTCCAGGTGGAGTGGCTCCACCTACTTCAGGCAGTGCCCCTGTTCCTGCTACACAATCAATGTACCAGCCAAAACCCAATGGAATTGCCGCCCCTTCTACTAATGCTACAACTACCAGCTAGGCTTGCTGCTCGAGCCAGGGATACTTTGACTATCTTCTGTGTTCTCCGTAGGATAATTATGGTTTTGGATGAAATGGCAAGAGGAACAGTGGCTTCTTAGTGAATAACAGCGCTGAACATCATCAAGTTCTCCTGATAATTGTGGAGAAGAGAAATTACTTCTGCTTCTGGAGTTGACTCTAGGAAGAATATCAAGTGTTTGAGTCTGATGTATGAGTAGTTGCTGGTTCTTATGTATTACCTTAATTAATCTTATAAAAGGAACCTTGGACTTCTTGTCAGTATTGCTCTATCAATTCGGTCGTTTGAAGTTGTGTCTAAAGTTATTCCTCCCCCCTCCCCCCCCAAATCATTAGCGGTTACAGGATCTGTATAACGATTTATTAGTTTAGGATTCGTCAATCTACATTGTTAGCAAGTTTAGAAGAAACAAGTAGCAGTCATGTTGATACATTTCTCTGGCCTTAACCAAAATCACATCCCCATAGCCAACCTATTCAAGGACCAACAAAGGCCAATTTGAGATTTGAAGTTGATGAGTTTTGGTTTGAATTTTTTGAAAATATGGGTTATATAATTAAAAGGCAGAAACATAGATAAACACTCAATCTTGGTCCTAACTGTCGGTTTGATATTAAACTCACTCAATGATCACTTCAACTTGGCACAAGTGTATTCAATTGACTGTTTCCAGTTGTGCTTATTCAATTGACTCGTTGTACGGTTCCTGCTGTTTCGGTGGAGGGGACAAAGCGAAAGAGATCCAGTTTACGGTTCCTTTGATTGTGACATGGAAAAATGTTTGAATTTAGACAACTTTGAGAAGAGGAGTGAAGGGAATTTGCTAACGTTTTTCTTTTTCAATTGTTGTATTTTTTTTAATTACACGTATCATTTTAAAACATTTTTCTCCATTAGCGACTTCATCATATTCCAGTGAGTTCTTGTTCGAGTTCTGATCGTGTTGGAGAAGAATAAAGTCAGATTTCGTTCGAAAATTGGTTAATGTGGGTTATCACTCATTAAAGATTTGGTCTATTATGTCGATTAAAAAGAAAACAAAAATGTTGTTTCATCAAAATGATGAGTTAATTACATCTAATTGAAGGAGTATAAACAAGTCGCAAGATTTCGTGATTCGGTGAAGCTATTTGAGGATGAACACCCCTTTGAGATTGTCAAAAAAGGAATCTATTACATAGATGTCTATGGTGCCTTTTTTTCTTTTCTTTTTTGGAAAATCCTAATAACCCGCATCCGGGTACACACCAAACCATGTTAACTTAGTATAGTTAAGTGATATAATGACGCGACAATGCATATATTTAATTATGATTAAGCCTTGAAGTTCATGGGAAAAACACATATTATGCATTTATTGATTTCGTATAAACACCAGGTGTGGGTAAATTTGTATAATATAAGTCTAAAAATCAAACTTGTTCTATCAAAAGAAAAATTGGGGAGGTAAAACAATTCATTTTTGTGTGCTTTCTTAATTTATAAAGGTATGTATAATTACAAAAGTAAACATAATTATAGATATTTAAGCATACTTAACGGTTTGGATTGTGGATGAAAAACTGTAGATACTGTTAGTGATACAAGGGGAGGTAAAAATGTAAACCAGCTAAAAGGGATAAAATTAAAGTACATAATTTTGCATGCACATTGTTGCTTCACTTGAGGGGAAAGTAAACTTCAACTGTAAGGGGTCGTTTGGCAGAGTGTGTATAAGAATAATGCTGAATAGGGTATAAGTAATGATGTTATTAGTTATGCTTGCATTAGTTAAGCTGACATATTTCTTATCCATTGTTTGGTTTGACGTATTAAAGCATTGCAGAATTTCTAAAAGAATTGGTTGTTTACAAAAATACCCTCATAACCAGTCCATCTATCACGATCCAATTCTCCCCCGTAAGATGTCGTGACGGCACCTAGTCTCTACGACTAGGTAAGTTTAACATTTGCGGAATAAGGAAAATGAAAGCAAACTAATTGCAATAGATAATTAAATAACTGATAAAAATGCCACTCCGCATGTACAATAACCAACACTCTAATATACACAGTACTCCCAAAACCCGAAAAATCATAAGTCACAAGCTACAGAAGAAAAACTAGTATCTCTATACACTAGAGTCTAAGAAAGAGGTACGGAAAGGTAAATGACATAGGAGGGAATAGAGGGGGACTCCGAGGTCTGCGGACGCGACATATATACCTTGAAGTTTCCAAAGTCTCACTGCTCACTGATGACGGGGCTGATATGAAGTACCTGGATCTGCACATAAACATGTGCAGAATACATCACAACGGTACCCAGTAAGTGCCAAGCCTAACCTCGGTCGAGTAGCGACGAGGTTAGGTCAGGGCCCTACTGATATATATAATAAATAAGGCAGAAAAATATTGCAGTGTAATAAGAGGTTGGAAATTTAACAAAGAGAAAACCACAGCAAAATAACAGCACGTTACACATGGATAAAACAACAGGGGATCTCCAGAGATAATATCTCGTAGTCCCAAAAGTAAATGTGCAAGGAGATCTCCCGAGGTACCGCCTCGTAGTCTCAAAAGTAAATGTGCAGGGGGATCTCCCGAGGTACCGCCTCGTAATCCCAAAGTAAACACACAGCTTGAAACCGACGAATACAACAATTAACAGCAAGAATTTTACAGTTAAGACTGATACAAATAAAGGAAAAACAGGAAATCAACTAAGCTTGCTGCACATAGCTCAAATAAGCATTTAAGACACGGAGACATGCGATATTAGGCTAATTAGGATAACTACATATGCTGGTATAACTCAATTAAGATGAAACGGGTTATTACTCAGTAAAAGCTGGATTTTACAACAATTAGCCCGTGTACGCACTCGTCACCTCGCGTACACAGCGCTCACATATCACAGAAGTATCACAACAGTACCAAATCCTAAGGGGATTTCCCCCACACAAGTTTAGGCAAGCCATTTATCTCGAACCAAGCTCAATCAATCAGTAAGAATGCCTTTTCCACGATTTTCTGACTCCGAATGGCCCAAATCTAGCCAAAAGCAATTACATACCATAAATATAACTATAAGAAACTAGTCTAATTAAGGAAATCAAGACTTTAGCAAGAAATTAGAAAATCGCACCAAAAAGTCGATCCGGGCCCACGTCTCGGAATTGGGTAAAAGTCACAAAATACGAACACCCATTCACCCAGGAGTCCACTCGTACCAAAATTATCCGAATCCGATATCAAAATCCCAATTAAAACTCAAAAATTTTGTTGAAGAACTTTTCCCAATTTTCTCAACCCAAATCCGAAATTAAAGGATGAAATTAATGATAGATTAGTAGGATATAACCAAAAACAAGTGAAGAATCATTACCCAATCGATGTCTCTGAAAATCCCTCAAAATTTCGTCCAATTCGAGCTCTCTATCCCAGGTTATGTTAAAAATGGCAAAACTCTCGATTTTAAAATATAATCTGCTGGCCATGCATTTTCTTCTTCGTGAACGCGGCCACACCCTCGCGTTCGCGTTGAACAATTAATCACTGACCAAAAATTCCTCCTTCGCGAATGCGAGTGAACTCTCGCTAATGCCTAGCTTCCACTGCCTACTACTTTGCGAATGCGTTTTCCACTATGCGAACGCGTAGAACAAAGCCTTGGGGTCCCAGCTGCTCTACTTCCTCTACGCGAACGCGATACCCTTCACGCGTTCGCGATGCACTGCTCAACATACCTTCACGAATGCGGCCCCCACTTAGCGAACATGAAGCACAAATATCCTCCTGCCTCCAGCTCCTCTTCGCGAAAGTGGAACTCCCCTCGAGAATGCGAAGAAGGAAACCAGCAACTGGAAACACCAGAAATTCTGCAACTTCAACAAGTCTCATTTTGTCTGTTAACCACCCGGAATCTATTCGAGGCCCCCGGGACCTCAACCAAATATACCAATAAGTCCTAAAACATCATACGAACTTAGTCGAGCCCTCAAAACACATCAAATAGCAACAAAAACACGAATCACCTTCCAATCCAAATTTAATGAACTTTGAAACTTCAAACTTCTACAATCGATGCCGAAACCTATCAGATTACGTCTGATTGACCCCAAATTTTGCACACAAGTCATAATTAACATTACGGACCTACTCCAACTTCCGGAATAGGAATCCGACCCCGATATCAAAAAGTCCACTTTCGGTCAAACTTCCGAAAAATTCAATTTTCGCCATTTCAATCCTAATTCAGCTACACACCTCCAATTTACAATACGGACACGCTCCTAAGTCCAAAATCACCCAATGGAGCTAACGGAACCGACGAAACTCCATTCTAGAGTCGTTTTCACACAGTTCCAACTACGAACAAAATCCTAGAACTTTAGCTTCCATTTTAGGGAGTAAGTGTCCTAAATCACTCCGAAATCAAAAACAGGACCTCCCGGAAAGTCACATAAGCAGAAAAAGATACAGGGAAAATAGTAAATAGGGGATCGAGGCTATTTCTCTCAAAACGATCGGCCGGGTCGTTACATCCTCCCCCTCTTAAAACAATCGTTCGTCCTCAAACGAGCATAAGGACATACCTGAAGTGGTGAAAAGATGAGGATAACTGCTGCGCATATCATAGTCAGTCTCCCAAGTCGCCTCCTCAACGGCTGACCCCTCCACTGAACCTTCACAGAAGCGATGTTCTTTGACTTCAGCTTTGAAGCCTGCCTGTCCAAAATAGCCACCGGCTCCTCAACATAAGATAGATCCTTGTCCAACTGGACTGAGCTGAAATCCAACACATGAGACGGATCAATGTGATACTTCCGGAGCATAGAAACATGGAATACTAGATGAACTCCTGCTAGACTGGGAGGCAAGGCAAGCTCATAAGCAACCTCCCCAACTCGCCCCAACACCTCGAATGGACCAATAAACCTTGGGCTCAGCTTGACCTTCTTCCCGAACCTCATAACATCCTTCATGGACGAAACCCGGAACAAGACTCGCTCCCCAACCATGAATGCAACATTGCGAACCTTTCGGTCCGCATAACTCTTCTGTCTGGACTGGGCTGTGCAAAGTCGATCTTGAATCACTTTAACCTTCTCCAAAGCATCCTAAACCAGGTTTGTACCCGAAAGCCTAGCCTCGCCCGACTCGAACCAACCCACTAGAGACCGGCACCGTCTACCATACAAAGCCTCATACGGTGCCATCTAAATGCTCGACTAATAACTGTTGTTGTAGGAAAACTCCGCAAGTGACAGAACTGATCCCAAGAACCTCCAAACTCCATCACACACGCACGGA